AAAATCAGTCTGTCCTAGATATATTTTAGACCAAGTAGATACCTAATCTCTTTGTATATGAATGAATTGTATTACTTTTATACTCTTTTTATAACTTTTATCTATTTCATTGAAGACTTGGGTCTATTCCATGTAAGCATAATTATACCGAAAAGCATTAAAGATATTTAGTTTATTCTCTCAAATTGTTTTAGAACAAACATCATTGCTTGATTTGTTCTCTACAAAATTTTTATGGAGTTATCCATAAATTGATATATTAACACATCTCAATGTATTTATTTTTGTACATGTGTCAAACACATCATTGTATTAATCTGGAACACATGTCAATACACAAGTAGTAAAATGGTCCAACAGATTTATATCAATTGATATGGTGCAACGGATTTGTTCTCTATCTTTTATTTAATTTGATTATTATATCCATTTACATTGTGCAACAATCTACTTGGTCATAGATTCAGGCAAGAAAGAAAACAAAACATTATTACGCAAGTGATGCCACATTAATAATAAAGAAGTTCATGGAGCAACTGGTAAAGTATCTCACTAGAGCACCCAATTTAATTTAAAATACAGGAGCCTTTCACTGTTTACAGTACCAACTGCTCTCAACATTTCTGTAACCGCTGACTCCTTTGTTATTCTCATCTCACCCATCCAGCAATATCATCTTTTTCTTTCATCTCATCCAATAGCAGCTAAGTTCTACAATACAGCATATCCCAACCAAAATAATTCACCCATCATCAACAATGCTGAAGTCCAGAATAGGTAACTGGATTTTCAATAATCTGTCATACACTATGAATACAGGTCAACTGTGTCTTTGAAGTAGTATACAAGACAGAAAGTTGATTCCACTGCTTTCTTGAGTTCGAAGACATTTCTGGTTATTACAAGGTAAGGTAAATATTTTGGGCCGTAAAAATCAAGTATGAGAACTTATCTTCTAGTCAGTGCAGCTTTGGTTTTACTGAACCCACCGACCTCTTGGTTAATAACCATCTGCTACCTCGAACAAGTTCCTCCTTAACCATGAAAAGAACAGCAGCTGCAAGAACACTTTGTACAACTTTTGTGCCCATGCCTTTGTAGAAACCGTAAAAGCCTTCATAACGCAACATCTTCAGTATGGCGTCCAATGTGCCTGAACAATAAACTTCCAGTCTCAATTATTTTTAGAATTAAATTGTCTCTGGAGTGTTTGCAAACATTCAAGAAATAGTGATTCTCAGTTATTGGTTAAATGGAAAAGGAAAACCTCCTCACTGCAAAGAAAACTTTGGACTCTGGGGTTGCACTTTTATCTTTATAAGAATATGTAAAAGTTCTATACAATACTCCTGATGTGAGGAAACATTTGTATCTTCACGACTTATATACCACTTCCCGTTTTTCCGCAACTTTAGTTGTACCTTTAAACTTATATAAGCAAGCATTATCACCTTCATGCTGCTCAATCATTTTTCTACATCTATCACAATGAAATCAGTGTCCACCCTTTTGTTCCAATTAATTAAACAGCAGCGGGCGCAAACACAGATTATACATAAACTAATGCATGACAAAGCTTCTTAGGGTTCAGGCATATGTCCAAAAATTGAAAAAAACCGAGACAAACCTCTGTACTGATGCCTCTTGTCACCACCAGCATTTTGTTTTGCTTGAAGTCTTGACTGGAATAAAAGAGAATTAAAGCTACATAAAATATTCCTGGGAAGCAGCCACACGGATAAAAATTCTAGTTGAATGGCGCCGAATAGCATTCATAAAAAGTAACAAGATGACTCTTACCAAGGTTGATGTCACAGAGAAAGGGAATATACAAAATTTTTCGGAGTAATACTGAGATTATACAACCTATAGAAAATAGAAAGACGTTTTACCTTCACAACTAAAAGAGGATATGTCACAACTGTAGCTCCCAGTTTAGCCAAAGCTCCTAGCAAAAAAATCTAGATGTATATATAATAAGGAAAGTCAGAAAGGTGAGAGAATAAGGCTATGTAAGAGGAATTAATTCACACACACACACCTCTAAAGCAGTGACACCATTGGCACCCTTACTACTCAAAAGACGCTGCTTCTTAAGCTTCTTCAAGAAAGTCTCGTAAAGCATAAACTGTATAGAAGGATTGCTCACCTGTGGCAACATGCAGCACAGTTAAATAACTATCCCACCTACAGTAAATGGAGTAAAGTTTCCACATACCATGATCAGTGTGGGGAAAACACCTTTCCAGAATCCCAAGACTCCAGCTTCACCATAAACTTCTTGAATCTGTGGATTTGAACAGATTCTAGTTATAAAAATAAATAGAACTAGATGAGCTTTAAGGTTCAAATTTAAGGAACAAGGACAAACACCAATGTCATTTTCATATATTAAATAAGCATACTTTTTTGTTCTTAATAATTATTGCACTTCACTTCTGCAAACTTGCAAGAGTTGGAAGAACAAAAAGATTACAAAGGAGAAAGTGCCAGCAAAGGGCTCCTTTTCCAATCACAAGGACAACAAAAGTCAGGATTACGGTAGGGATAACATGTATGATATAAATACTATCAATAATCCAACAAACCCATGTAAATAGGCTCACGCATTGCAGAAAAAAATACAACCTAAGGTTCATCTTTGTACCCTAAACCAAATATGTGGATACTAGAAATCTGTTCCCCAGATTTTATGTTATGTGATGCCATTTAGATAGCTACTAATACAAAACCGTTGAACACGTAAATAATATGTGATTATTTGAGCGAAAGAGATCATAAGTGAGTCTAAGTATCTAACATTAAATGTTTCAAGCATATAAAAGAAAAAATGTAATTGTCTGCGTACCGCGTGGGTAGTACCAAAAGGAAGAGGTTCCACTGCAGAAAGAATTAATTCTTTGGGAGATGGAGAATCAGTACTGTTTGGTTGTCTTTTCTTTGTGTGAGTCTGCAAGATAGATCCGACGATTATGCTGAAGATGCATGTTCAACAAGATAATTTTAGGAAAGCCTGTCGCCAGAATTTAAAAACAACTAATTATAACAGATAAAATTCATCGCTATCTTTGGGGAGATTCTTTAGTTTCAGGATCTTCATAATAGGATTCATCATGTGGGTATTACTGTGCATAAATCCTTTCATTCAACTTAAGCTTAGCGTTGTTGATTGCAAGATCAAGAGGGGGCAAAGAGGGGGGTGGTTGGGGAGCATATTTCAAGAATATACTGCAACTGCGCCTGTCAATGCAGCTCTCAAGAAAATAAGGCCCTTAGAAAATGACGTTGAGGCGAGCAGTGAGGTTGAGGTGACCTATTGCAGAAGTAAGACTAAATACTAGGCTCTTCAAAAATGAGGTTGAGGGGAGTAACGAAAAATGTAGAAGATGAAAATTAATTGATACAAATAAGTAGCCTGTAGCCTCCAGTAAAATTTCAAAGTATCTTCTGGACGTCTTTTCTTGTTTCAAAAACATGTCTAGTGGAAAGGATAAGCTTCAGCTAAACCTGTTCTCTTCTAATCAGTGCATTAATAAATAAGTAGACATCAATACATTACTATCTCCTGTCACTGAACTGTCATAGCTACAAAACCAATACATGGTAAGAAGTCTAAATTCCAATTAATTCATGAAATATCGACCTAAAGTAGGCCACATCATTTTTGCCCAATATTTATTGTAGTTCTGCAATAAATTCAAATTGAAGACTCCCAACAAAGCACCTTGCATCCTTTACCTGCATGCGGGTCACAACCACCCATATAGGGTTTGTTAGCAGCACATTTACGCACCTACAGGAAAGACAAAGCTTTAATTGTCACGGGTTGCTGAGCAAATATAATCGACTTCCAAACTATAGACTGAATGAGAACAACATCAGCTCCATACAGAAAATTTAGAAATATTCGGTGAAACAACACAGGTTCTTAGATTGTCCAGCAGATAGCAACTTGATTAACTAGCAATTGTCTGAATATCGCAGATAGAGATAGCCAATCAGAAGCATCGATAAGCAGGATGGAAAATCATTCTTTTACCAGTTCATAATTACTTTATGACAAAGCAGAAAGGACTATGCTGGTTCAATTTAAAGAAATCTTCACTGATGGCAACTTATATGGTGGCGTTACTTTTGCTGCCAAAACAGTTAATATCCAAGAAACCTTAGCATTATACCAACATTAACTGTCAAATGCTGTTTCTAATCATTACTCATTATATGCATGCACTGATCAGACTCCAACATATTAGCAACTCCAATGTTTAATAAATGTCAACGGAACATAGGGAGTTACCAAATGATAATTGAAGTTAAGAAATTAATGGCCCAATATAAGATTCTAGCAAGAGATTTTAAATTGCTAATCCTGGGCCATAGAACTGCATAAAAGATATTAGCCTCTGGCCCTCTTTGGTGGCATCAATCTTCTTCTAGCCCCACTGTAGTGTCAAAACAAGAAGGAAGTACTCTGATTGGTACCTCTGGAAATACTACCAAAGATGCAAGATTCTGTGCCAAGATTATTATATACAGCTGAATATAAAAATAATGGAAGGACAAGAGACTGTTTGATTTGGATATCAGTTAGAAATCCATTTCCTTTGCAATTTATTTGACTTGACAGTTTGAGAGTTCTTTCTTAACGAAATTAGCTTATTTGAAATGATTGTCTGATTTGATTTCCGCCTTTTTCATTTGCATCGACTGCAACCTCTATATAAAAGGGATGCTTCAATGAACAAGAATAAGCAAGAATCAAGAGAAAGAGAAAGGACTAGGAAAACTCCATCATTTCCACTTTGTTATTCCTTTTCTATTCCTAATTTCTGCAATCACCTGTTGACCCCCACTATTACCAGAAACACGATATACTCACACAGAAAAAAGGAAGTGAGTTGCACAGAAAGAAAGACAAGGCTCCCCCAAGGGAAGCAAAATATGAGGCTTGCTTCTATTATCATCTACACCTACATGATCGAAGTCGTAGTTATTTGACGGCACCCTTCATTTCCTGAAAGCCGGCCAATGTAAAAAACTTTACAAAATCTAAAAGAAACATGCTTAAGATGACAAAATCCGATTAACATTTCATCGTAAAAGTATTCCTTTTAAAGTAAATCATTCAACTGAATGAACAAACAGATGCCAGTTAGCTTATATTAGTGTACTTCCTCCAAGTACCTATATCCTTGAACCCCAGCAACAGCAGTTGGAAAGAATCAGAGCTTGCACAATAGTTTAAAGCAATACTGTAGTTTGGAGCGTAAATATTACATCAATCTCCAATTCCATGAAAGCATAGTTCTCTATGAATGCCAATGAATACTATCTAAACAGACAAGTATGAACTACTTCTATTCCAGTTCGAATAAAGCATTGTCCAATATGGAGGACAATGACTACTGAGTAACTAACAAAAGATGTTTTTTTAGTGGTCCTTGAAGAGGAGCTCATGGAGTAGTACATTACCCGGATAGAGCAGCAACCATAAGTGATGAAAGCATTCCGACTGAACCATCACCAATACCTTTCTTCTTCCGTTCAAGGGCAGTTAACTCGGCCTTATTTCTGAATAATTGATAAAAATAATAGTACACACCCTGTGCCATAAAAATTGCAATTTGTAAGAAAACACATATAAAAATCATAGCTTATATTCATATAGCTACCCAGAACAAAGAACTTAGAAGAGACATAAACAGAACTACAGAATGAAATATGATAAGTTTCATATTTCTTTTTATTCATTCACATGTTCACCTCAAACCATACAGCATGAAGCACATAACTGAAACAGCTGTATATTACGCACAAATAGGGATATTCACCTAAAAGTCACCACATATAAAGTCACTGAGTATGGTTTACTTGGTTTAAGCAAGTAAAAATAAAAACTAATTATCTGTTTAATTTAATTAAATATAAGAGTAGAAAGTGCCAATGACAGATGGGGTAAAAAGAAAAGACAAATGAGCTCCGGTTGGGTCATTTTGTTATTAAGAACCCATGGAGAAAAGAAAAAAGAAAAAAAGAAAAAAAAAAACTAAGAAGTAGATAAGAAAACTCCTTAACATTCTAATACGATAGTTTACCGTTGCTAAATGGAACATGAAACTTCTTATGATGTAGAAATTATGTTGACAATCCAAAATTTTAAATGTGGCGTTCATTTCAAATACAGGAATCAAGAAAAAAAAAGGAAGCAAAAACTTCTTGACATTATAGTTTAAGACATCAAGAATGGCTATTTATGATTGTAGCTAGAAAATGTTTAACTTCACTTCTCAGCTCAAGAAAGAAAAGAAAAAAACAGAAATAAGTGTAAGAAATGACAAAGAAAGAGTCTATGAGGGTAATATAAGCAAAAACATATGGGATATATATTGATCACAAATCATTTTACAATTCAAGCCACCAGGATGCATTCAAAATCTTTCTAGCATTAGTTTGCTGGTCCTAGCCAACTTCAATACATCAAGATTCAGCTTCATATATTCCAATGGTATCAACGTTGAGAATGAAGGCGAAGTCTACTGCAGTGGGGTGGATTAAATAAAAATAACAGCAATCCCGCATGATGTATTTTTCCACTGGAAAATGAAAATTGATCATATATTCCAATTACAATGTAAATTAGAAGATGATATTTAACCCTTAACATTAACTGTTCTCATCACATTCACGTGGTAGGATAGACTTTGCAACATAAATCATCATATTATAGTCAAATGTCAATTTCTTATTTCTCTGGAAATGTATTAAGAATATTGACTCTATAGAAGGGGAAAAAAGAGAACAAAAAAAAGGGCTAATGTCTTTGATCTTTCTGCCTCCTTCAATCTCTGGGCAATCTTTACCGGGATTACTTATTCTATGAGAGGTGAAGTTTAAACCAAAATCCTATGGAGGTGTATAGTAGCAACCAACCCCAAAATTATAAGCTGTGGGTGATTTGCTAGTCAATGGCACACATCCCAATGTCAGGGGGGCCACATGCCCATACAGATATGTCACTTAAACACGACATCATGGGGTTGGCAACAGGTGCAAATATTAAAAATTTCAACGATAATAATCCGCATCAAATGTTGGGATCCAAGCTTCAGACTCTGTTTTTTATATCGAACGGATCTTTCTAATACCTTGTTAATGATAATTAAAAATATGAGTTCTAATTAAGAACACAGCATATGCAAAAAGGAACAAGCTAAACAAGTTCACCTGAGATGCGGCCGTGCCTACAATCGATGGAGCTAATCCCCCATACAGCCGACCCCACCCTTCTTGTTTTACAACCTACAGATAATTAAAATTACCGCATTTTCAATGAGCCAGAAGAAAAGAGAATTGATTCTGAGATGACAAAAAGTCAAACCGTAACCTTTTGAAATTGCACCAAAAAAAATAAAAACCTGACACATTTGATCCACGACTCCGAGTTCCGGTTTTTCCTTCTTCGAATCTCTCTCTGTTTGTTGACGAGTATTTACCTAACCAGAACCAAAGATCACCAGATATTCGCTATAAGGTAAACTTACTTTCCTTTAAAGGAAAATACAACAACAAATCTGTAGCTAAAGTAGAAAAAATTTCAATCTTACAGTTTGAAGAGGGTAGGTGATGAGCTGAGCGATTATTCCACCGCCGGCACCGGCGAGGCCGTTGATCAAGGCGTCTGACATAACCTCCACGAAATTTCAAGTCCTATTTCCTTGAAATTCGGGAAAATGATGGAGAGGGAAGAAGAGATCTAGTGAGAGAAAGGACAGTGAAATATGGCAGCTCACAATAGTTAAATTTAATTCAGAAAATGGACATGCAGGAAGCGCTCTTTCCAACAAACGGAATTAGAAAAGGAGAGGCATTTGTGCCGCCTGACGGTTTGGTTTTGGCCTTTTAGGTGGGGTTTTAGACTTTATTGGGGGATGACATAATTTAATATATTGGCAGTTATGTTAAACTAGTAAGAATATTAAATAATATATTTAATTCGTATTAAATAATATTCATAAATTAAAAATAGAAAATTAATATGTAATATAATTTATTTATATTAATTCATTGATAATTTTTTTTTCCAAACGATAGATGTACTCATTGAAAAACCAAGAACAATAGTTCAAATACTAGCGAAGACATCCTCGAGCCTAAGCACCTGAGAGAACTGCAATGGCAGCAGCCTAAATACCACTAGAGTCATAATAAACCAAGGATCAAAAGCAGCTACTACATGCTGAGACCTTCAACTCCTTTATACAATCACTTAAAACATCCATAAAGAAATCCTAATAAAATACAGAAAACATACACATGCAGAGCTCACATAAACTTGAATGGCACATATCACTGACAGTAGACCTAATATATCCCACCCAATATCATGCAAATTAGTGTCTATTCTCTAATAAATCAGACCAGTCTTCCCAAGCTGCTTTCACTATGACCTCTTCCGGCTTCCACACACCTTCAAAAACACATAAATTCCGAGCCTTCCATAGCCACTACAAGAAATAAGTAGAAAGTTGAATCCGAGCCACAAAAGTTTCTTTATAGTCCATCGAGCTAATCCACCACCACCATTCTTTAAAACTAAGCTGATCAGTTTGAGTAGAGTCCCAACATACTGGAGCAAGCTTCCAAGTTTTCCTGGCTTTGGGACATTGGAAAAAAATTTGTTCTTGAGTTTCTTCTGCTTCACCACATGTTTGACAAATTCCATCTATGCGCACACCTCTTTTTTTCACATTTTCACCCACAGGCAGAATGTTAGAAAAACACTTCCAGATAAGATGTTTGACTTTCCCCATTATTTTCAATTTCCAGCATCTCAGCCTGGCTTTTGAATTCAGATTAGTTATCCTACTAGATTCAGCCTCCTCCAGCCTCATAGCTTTCTCAGTGATCATATGGGAATAAAGAGAGCTAACAGAGAAATTGCCGTTAGTAGCAAAGGAACAAGTTGACAATGTTGGTGTCCCATGCTCTATCTGCAACACCCCGCTACTTAGGGTCAATTTTTTGCAATTTTTTTTTTTTTTGAAAACGCTTATAAATTTTTCGAAATCATTTGCAAACTATCTCGGGATGCTGTTAAAAATTTATCTGCTTTAAAATTCGTTTTCTTTTAAACTGGATCTAACAATTAGTTTAGACTTTAAGAAAAATATATTTAAATCTTTTATTGAAATATGCAGGTGAAATTGGACCCGTTCGTACTGGCGAACTGAGTAAAGTATTTAAGTCTGGAAAATAGTGTCCTGTAAGATCGAACGGAAAATAAACGTAGCAGAAGTCTTAAAATGCGTGACATAATAGTTATACAGACGTAATAAAACAAATGTCCACGAATCGACTTGTTGTGCCAAATCCACAACCACAACCACCACGGCTGCCCTCACGCCTTCCCGCCAATCCTGTCATATGAAAAACATAATGTGGGTGAGTACTGGTCCTCTTGTACTCCATAAAAACCCAGACTAAAGCAAACAACAATAATAATATCAATATCATAAACTTTGGTATGTATAAATCTTCCGGACACTATGGTCGGTAACTGTACTGAATCTCCCGGACTCTGTGGCCGGTAACTGAAACTGAATCTTCCAGACTCTATGGTCGATATCCGTGTGCACACTCTGATGGTATATTAAGGCAAACTGGGCCACCACCAGAACCTAGAGGAGGGCAAAGTCGACCTCGACCCTAGGCGGCTAAAATACATACCTCGGCATGATATTAGGCATTATACTCAATGTAATACCCAGGCTGGGTCCCCACCTGATCTGCTTTGAAAATACGTAAGTACTATGCTTGTCATATGCTCAATAATATGCTAAGATGCTTTACTCTATCAGATAATTTATCCGGATATTAAAGGAACACTCTAAGGGCTCGCTAAAATAATACTAAGTCCGAAAATCTAGACTGATATGCTCAACTGAACTGATTTGGCTCGAAAAAATACTTAGATTTTGGAATAAAGCTCAGACCAAAATACTCGAACCAAAAACTGACTCGAACCGCCGGTCGAACCGGCCGGACTGCCGGCTCCCTATGGGCCGGGCGGTCGGGTGCTCACTCGGACTGACCGGCATTGGTCCCGCGACCGGTGCGGTCCTCGGCGCTGCTGGGCGCGGCCAGCACGAGCACGGGAACTACTGGTGCCACTCGGGTGCGACTGGACACTGCCGAGGCTAACTAAGGCGCTGGCGTGCTTCTGGGCACGACTGGACTCGGGTCTGGCACTGCTAGGTGCGGTCAGACACGCTAGGCTCGGGTCTGGCAAGGCTAGGTGCAGACAGACACGGCTAGGCACTACTCGCGCGAACTCTGGCGCGGCTGACACTATTCTGGCGCTGCTGGGTGGCCCTGAGGCTGACTGGGCCATCGGGTGTGCTGCTGGGCACGTCCCGGGCCAACTGGGCATGGTACTGAATGCTCGGGCATGCTGCTGGCACGGCCCGAGGCCTACTCCGCGCGGCACGAGCAACTGGCTCGAGACTACGCGTGCACTGACACTGGGACAATGCTGTCGGCACTGACGGAGGTCGCTGGGCGCAACTGGCGCCAAGACCTCGCACACGGACACGGATAGGCTCTGTTGGGCGCTGTCACGTGCACTGGGGACTGCAGGGCCTCGCGCCTGCTGGGCGCGGGCACGGATAGAGGTGTGGCCTGGCCTCTGCGACACGGCCCGACACTGCGCGCGCTATATGCGCGGCCAGTGGCCGTGGCCGGTCTTTGCTGGACTTCCGGCGACTACTTCGGTGAAAATGGACTCAACCCAACATATTATGATCAAAGACACATAAAAATGCCAAGAAATGCTATGACACCTCGGTTGGGTTTAGACTTGGTCCGGTAGGGCCGATATGGCTCGCACGGACCCTAGGTCACCAAATAGACTTGCTCAACTTATACAATCACTTAAGGCCGAATACTTAACATAAAAAAATCATAACTTTAAGGGCTAACACATTGGTCATAACTCGCATGCATATTACTTAGGCTCGGAGGTGAAAATATGCTCGATTTCACTATCAACTTGGCTGAACCAATGAATTCATAACATGCCTATCTTTTACCAATGTTATACAAATGATTTTTTGAGGGATAATGAGCTACTAAAATCGGCCTACTCATGCTTGTACATAAAAATCCGAATTTAAAGGCTTATACTTCAAAAATTCGTAACTCCATTTTAAGTACGTGCATGACCTCATTTTTCTTCATGATAATTCCTAATTTATCATGTTAAAGCTGAGGAAAATGAAAAACACGAGTTTACCTTTCACCGAACTCGAAATGGTGCTAGGTGTCCTCTCTCGTGCTTGCTCGCGGTTCTAATGGACTTGGCTCGACTTGGGGGCTAAATGGCTGAGTTAGATGGGCTCTAAAGACTTAGAAAAATCCAAATAATACTTGGAAGGTGCTAAGCCTCGAGAGAAAATGGTTGGAACAAGCTAAGGTTCGAACTCTCCTTCACCCGGGTCTTCACGCGCGCGGCAAGGGGCTATGGCGTAGCTCTCAGTTTTCCTCTATCTCCTCTCAATATTGCTGAGTATTCTAAGTTCCAAAATGCTCTCCCCTCAGCTGGGAATAAGTCTTATAAGGGTCAAGCAAGGAGGGGACAAGGCTGGTCTTGGGTGGAGCAAAAAGTGAGGCAAATGGGGGACAAACACACCACCACATGCGCATGGAGTCTTGGAGTGGTCTTGCACGGTTTTGGAGGAGGTCTTGCTGACTTTGGGCTGACCAAGGCATGCAAATGGAGTGGGGAACAGTTCTGGTCGGGTTGGAGTGAGTGGAGGGGACAAGGCCTAGCTCTAGCCTATTAAAATATTGTCCCACTCACAATACACAAGGCTAGTGCACTTTGACTTGTTTAGTCCACCCTTGACTAAGACTTGGGCTGAATTTGACCCTCATTAACCTCTAAATATTCGCATGACATGGGCCATAAGACTTGGGCTCGGAAAAATCATGTGTAATTGTAACACCCCGCTTATCAGAGTAAATTTTTCGCAACTTTTACTTCGAAAATACTTATATCTCTTTCGAAATCTTTTGCGACTATTTCGGGATGCTACTCAACCTTACATCTTGAAAATCCATTTATCTTTAACCTCTTGTCTAATAACTCTTTTAGACATAATTAAATAGATTTTCTTTAAACTTGCATTTAACCATATCCATCCTTCTCAAATTTATAAAAACTTCAAATCATAAATTCATTTAAGAAAATGCAAGTTCAATAGTCAATATGCGTAGCGGAATAATCGAAAGCGTGATTTATTATACAAACTTTATTAAAGACTTCATAAAAATCCTTGGAAATGCACAACCACCACCACAACGTCTCGAGCTCACACCTCCGGCCCGACCCTGTTTCCTGAAAAACACAATGGGGGTGAGTACGATCCTCTTGTACCCCGAAAAACACCCATACTAAAGTAAACAGCAATAATAATACAATATCATGATCTCCGGTATATAACTGGACTTAAAACTCTTCCAGTATCTCAACTTCATCTCACCGATATCTCATCGGATACTTGTGCACAATCTAATGGATATTTCTCAGGCAACTCAACGGCCTCCATTAGAACTTAGGAAATACTCGTAAGGCAACTCATCAGCCTTCTTCCCAAGCGTATAAACTTAAACTTTTACATACCTCGGACATGATATCAATATTATACTCAATGTAATACCCAGTCTGGGTCCCCACCTTTCGTCGTTTGTAAATTCGTAAGTGTTGTTCTCGTATAGCAACCTCCTCAAGCTACATAAAAATATATAAACAAATATACTAAGTACTTATGCTCATTTACTCAATAAGATGCTCGGTTTTCTCAATTCATTCGGATAACTTATTCAAATCTTATAGAAATTTCAATAATCATATCATTTCTCAAATTAACTTTTCTCAA